CTTACAGAATCCCACACTTTCTGCATCAACAACCTGTTCTCTTTCCTCAAACGCATACATATCCTTTATCTAATCTAACACCCGACCTTAACCCTTTAACTCACCAATTCCTTTGCCCAGCTTAGACAACTAACCACTAACTCAACCACCTTTCATTAACATTAACTATAGTGCTACATGACCTTAGATGTCTAGCACATTTATCTTGCTTTTAACCATTAACCATTAACCCCTTCCTTCCTAATCAGCCATGCTTCCATTTATGCCACGGCGGCGAATTCATATATATTTATCTAAAGATAAAGAGATGTTTATATGTACATGTATAAACAGATGTATATTACTATATGTGTAGACTTGTATATATGTGTGTATGTTTATATAGACGTACATGTATGTAAATGTGTATAAACATAAGATATACATAAATATATAATGTATAAATATCTATTATATGGATATGTGTACATATATCCATACTGGCACATACATATACATATCTATATATGTATACATATACTTGTATATATATTGATGTATATATACATATATATGGAGACAAAGATAGAAAGTGAGGAGACAGAATGAGACCCACAAGGTCTGAGGACGAAAGGCGAGTCTTCCCACACCCCCCCTCCCCCTATTTTCTTTGTATCTTCCTCTTTCACCTCCCTATTTCTTTTTCTCTCCTTCTCTTACTCGCCTCTCGTCCTTGTGATAGAGAAACAGAGACAAAGAGGGTGAGACAATGATAGATTCAGAGAAAGAGTCAAGAGAAAAAGTCCCAACTTCCTACCTTTGTTTCTCCACGTTTACCTACTCCTTTCTCCACTCGCATGGATACCCTCCTCTCCCATTCCCCTTTCCCCCATCTCCGACCTCTCCCGTTCTCTATCCATTCAGTCCCTCCATGGCTTGTACCTTACCTCCGTATTTGCTCTTCTGTTTTCCCTGACCCACCAAAATCAGATATTCCTCCTGCTGTCCTTCTCACCCATTCTCTTGAATGCTGGAGGAATGAATGAAGACATGGTCAAGTTTACACTGATGGCTCCAAATCCACCTCCAGTGCTGGTATTGCAGTAATCTTTCCAACTCGTACTTTCAAATGCCCCCTCCCTCTTGAATCCAGTGTCGTTACTATAGAACTGTATGCACTCCCTTTTGCCTTCAAACACATTCACTCCCCTCTTCCTATTTCACAATTTTTACTGACTTCCGTAACTGACTAACTCTCATAAAATCAGTACACCTAACCAACCCCCTTGTTTGTAAGATCCAGAATTGGTTCTGCCTGTACATAGGCCATAAATAATCAGATTTTCCTGGGTCCCAGCCATGTTGGAATACCCGGCAATGAACAGGCAGACACTCTAGCATCATACTAACCACGTTTCTCACGTATCCCAGCCACGGATTATTACCCCCCACTTTAAGACCTTGTATAACCAATGGCAATCTTTCTGGTCAAGTCTCCGCACTAATAAATTACATACTGTATAACTATTAATCTCCTGGCCCGCTCCATTTCATCGGAACAGACGGCTCTCGCCCGCTTAAGCATTGGCCACACCCGTCTCCCAACGTCTAACACACTCCTATCTGATGCCACACTCTGATCCACCCATATGTTCCCTATGCAATGTCCCTCTTTCAGTTCCACACATTCTATTGTTATACCCATGTTTTGATGCAACACGTACCTGCTTTCCCCACCTATCCTCCCAACCTATCAGACGTCCTTACAGAATCTCACACCTGCTTTGACAACCTGTTTTCCTTCCTTAAACACATATCCTTTGATTTAACCCCTTTACATTACTTTACCCGACCTTAACCCATTCACTCGTCAATTCCTTTACCCAGCTTTGACAACTAATCACTAACTCAACCACCCTTCACTACCATTTACTGCAGTGCTACATGACCTTAGATGTCTAACACAATTATTTTGGTTTTAGTCATTAACATGTATATATTTACACATACATTTGCATTTATCATCTATACATATATACAATACAGATATATCTATGTGATATATATAGATGCATATATGTACATATATATGTATATATATATATATATATATATATATATATATATGTATATATAATGTGTCGCGTTTTCTCGTCCTTAGTTCTTGTGGATCGATCTCTGTCTCTTTCTCTTCTCCTTTTCTGTCTCTGTATTCTGTCTCGTTCTTTCCCTCCCTCTCACTCTTTTTCTCTGTCTCTGTGTCTCACTCTTTCTGTCTCAGAAAGTCAGGCACTTGTTACCACTGCTGTCCACCAATTTATCAGGGCTGTATATATACTGTTATGTTTATTATGTACACATATTGTATATAGATTTATATTTATACTTATACATATATACTTATAAGTATAAATATAAATCTATATACAATATGTGTATATACATACATTTATATATATATATACATATAATGTATATACACACACGCATATATATATATATATATACTGTATATATAACTCAAGCAACTACAAATTAGGTGATTTAAAGGAAGGGAAATAATCTTGCCACCATTAAGGATTGTCTATGATATTTATTATCTTTAATACTTTCACATTCACTATATGCGTAGGTGTAATTAAATTTATTATTAAGGTAATTATTTATCTGTTATGTTTACGAAAGCATAATTTATTGATATACGCAATGTATTAGATATCGTTGACCTTAAAGAGTAATTTTTCATACACGAATTCTTGGAATTATTTAGATGGAAACACCTATGAAAGCGGGCCGGCGTTTTACCTCCACAAATCATTACAGCTGCACTTTCTTTAGTTCTAAACGCTGCTTTCTATAAACAGCTACATATAGCAGCTGTAAGAAATGTAATATGAATACGCCATTTTCGTTATTTGAGTACACTTATGTGTAGTGATTCAGAATTATAGTTTTGCCTTTTAAATTGTCTGAACCACGTTCAGCGAAAAATAACACCTATTTGTTTATTGAAATACTTTCTTGCTTTGTATGAATTGACTAATTGGTAGAACTATTTTTCTTAAAGATAGTTGTCTCTTTACTCTTAAAGAAGAATAGTAATATGTAGAATAGAAGGCAAATATTTAGGAAAATCATACTGACTGGAACAATTAATTTTTTATAAAACCTTGTCCAACTACCGATATTTTCTACAACTCGTAGTCTCTCCGGGACGGAGGCGACATGCTTATATACAAGTTCCGGTTTCCGACGTAGTACATCCCATTCCCTCTTTGCATGTTCTATTAACTTTTGCGTCGTTCTTTCATTTGCTGTTTCCCAGACATTGACTATATTGGCCCAGACGTGTCCGATTGGGTAAGTCACATTCCTTGCTTAGCCAGGGTAGGACCTCGAGGAGGTCTTGGTCACGAAGCCATCTCTTATTTGCCCTCGACGTGTGTATTGGGCAGTTATCCTGCATGGGTGCGATCGTCTCTCGGAAAGGCAAGGCATAGGTGCGTACTGACGGGAGAAACACTTCTAATACATTATTTCTCCGAATTGAATCTCCCCTCTATTTTAGCTAGTTCGTCAACGCCATGCAGGAATATCCACCCCTCAGATATCACGTGTCCACTCCTCGTAGTTTCGTATATGTTTTGTCTATCATATCTGCAAAATATAGAATGAGATATTAGAATATAAGATATTAGTGCTCATATGGAAATAATCTATAGACAGTGATCTTTTCCATAGATCATAATACAGTAAAGAAATTAAAGAGGCAGAAAAGTAATTTGCACAGCTCGTGTTATCTCTCCTCCAGCACTGGAGCTCTCCGTGTGCGGTGGAACAAAATGTTTTTTTCATCACTCCAGATTACTCATTACTCCAGATTATCATTGTCTACACTGCTGAACGAATTGGAGGCGACCTTGGCTATGACGTTCGGTGGTCGGTGATTAATACCATCTGCATGCAATTTTTTTCTCACCGTTCGCCTTGTTACTAGGAGCTACAGTTCTTGTACTTTAACTGCATTGGTGAAGGGGTTCGCCTCCACCATCTCCCTGATCTGAGCGTCTTGATCTTCGGTTGCCTTTCGTGGAGCACCGGAACGAGGGCGAGCGTTCAGGGTGCCCTCCTCCTCCCACCTTTTTATCCACCCGTAAATTATTGGGAGACCACTTTCATCCCAATGATACGACCACGATTCGCAATTTTAGTTTGCCTTGCGGTCATCTTCAAGAGTGTCAGCTAAGCCTTTCACAGGCTTCCTACCCTCGGATTTCCTATACTTCAAAATGGCGTCATACTGTCGACAATACATTTTTGTCCATTTAACATATATTTAGCTTAACAGCGAGATAGATATTCAGGAATTTAAGGGTATTCATTATCATAAAGATTATAATATATATATATATATATATATATATATATATATATATATATATAATAGTTAGTTCCTCTTTCTTTAAATTACCCAATTAGTAATTCTAAGGTTTCATTAAAGGATCGTGTACCTGGATAACGATCTTTTTCATTTACCTTTGAAATATGGACACAATTCGTATAAGTGATTTACAGTTGCACCTTCGCTTTGTCGTCCTTCTTGCTGCCTACTTCGTGGTTGCCATAGCGAGCCAGAATTGCACCCGTTACTGCCAGACTGACGTGTGCTGTGGTGAGTGACCTGTGACCTTTGACCTTTGTGTTACATGGGCACATACACATATAGATAAGTCGATCTCAAATAGATAAGCGATTTTGAAGTCAGCAAGAATACACATAGAGATACATCCTACTGAGCTACAACAAATAATACTTATCTATAAGTCCCCCCCCCCCTTTTTTTTCCTTCTCATTCCCTCCAATTCATTTCCAACCAAATCTATTCTCCAACAGATCCCCCACCTCCCCCTCGCTGTCCCTACCCCTCTCCGTGCATCTGTAGCAACTTGCATGGGTTTACCTTCTCGCTAGATTTAAAAAGCGCGCGCTGCCACCACCCACTTAATTGACGTATGGGAACGATGTATAAGTGTTATAGAAGGGTTGGCGAAGTGTAAGGAAGAGTGGAAGGGACGGAGAGATAGTGTGTGAGTGTATGTACGTGTGTATGAGTGTATGTGTTTGGTGCGAGAACGTAAAAGACTGGTATGCGTGCATTTAGCTGGAGAGGCGTGTGCGGGGGATAATTCCCAAACGCAGATGGTTACGATTTAGTGTTATATCTTGGAATTCATTTCACCTTTACGTGTCCATGATGACTTACGTCTTTCGTTACAGTAGGAATGTACGGAAAACTGTTCATAAAACCTTCGACATTTATTAAAATGCAAAAAGACACATAAAACTAGGTAAAATCACAAAAGGCACGTAAAACTAGAACACCTCAAAAGGCGCGTAAAACTAGAACACCTCAAAAGGCGCGTAAAACTAGAACGTCTCAAAAGGCGCGTAAAACTAGAACATCTCAAAAGGCGCGTAAAACTAGAACATCTCAAAAAGCGCGTAAAACTAGAACATCTCAAAAGGCGCGTAAAACTAGAACACCTCAAAAGGCGCGTAAAACTAGAACGTCTCAAAAGGCGCGTAAAACTAGAACATCTCAAAAGGCGCGTAAAACTAGAACATCTCAAAAAGCGCGTAAAACTAGAACATCTCAAAAGGCGCGTAAAACTAGAACATCTCAAAAAGCGCGTAAAACTAGAACATCTCAAAAGGCGCGTAAAACTAGAACACCTCAAAAGGCGCGTAAAACTGGAAAATCACAAAAAGCACGTAAAAATAGAGCATCTCAAAAAGCACGTAATACTAGAACATCACATAAAGCACGTGAAACTAGAAAATTACAAAAGCACGTAAAACCATTAAAAAAAAAAAAAAAAAAAAAAAAAAACATAAAAGAATATAACATGAACTTCAAAATCTTGGAAGCACCGGTCTAAAATTCACTGACTTTATCAAAAGGGCATGGGAGTCTCCCAGTACCCTTGCTACTTTTAAAGTAACTAAAAGTAAACAATATAGAAGATATATAAAAGACTTTAAAATAATAAATAAGAAATTTTAAAGTTTAAAAATCTCCCTTTATGGATTTTCAGTTGCATGTAGTTCGTGTTTTAGTCATGTTTTTTTTCTTAGGATAAAAGGTATAATTATACATAGGTTTTAATAAAATAAGGTAAAACAAATAAAAAATACAAGACAATACAATATGGTAGACAAGGCAGGCACGTTTTCTATTTCTTCGGCGAGCGCGTTTTCTATGCGCTTAGCCGCAGGGCGAGTGTAGGGCATCCTCACCCGCGGGAGATGATAACCCCGGTAAGTAGGATCAGAGGGACGCAGGAGCAATCCTGCAGGAGACTAAAAATAAATTGTGTGTACAGGGAAGTCGTGATCACTGCGGATGCACAGTGATTCACGACACATCGACTTCTTCGACGGCAACATCCCTGTAAGTATTTCCGGCTCCTCTTCGCTCCTTGTCCGCTCGGCTCGGAGACTTCGCTCGCTTCAGCATTGCTATTTTAAGGGTGTCAAACCCATAATTCAAGAATACTTATTAGATGTGAATGTATCGTTATGGAAAGTAATGCATGAAAGATTATACATTCATAACTAAACATCATTTCATAATGGTAAGTTTCAGGTAGAATGAACTTTACATACAGGCACGTAATATGATAACAGCCCAAGCTGGGTCTGAGTTTGGATTAGATGAACTTTGGGAATGTCATGATATTTATTTAGTGTTTCTGAATATGGATATTTGGTTTGGCATGCTTTCCGTCGATTGAGCAAATTTATGGTAGTAAATAATTCCTTGCAGGCAGTTAAGAACAACTACAGAAGAAGAAATCCAGAAAGCTATGAATGAGATTGAATCATTTCCAACTCATTACGAGAAGGACGTCATTCTGATGAAGCAAAGTTTCTCGACGTCAAAAGCACATTTTTCTTCCTGAAATAATTTCCAACTCATTTCGAGAAATTCCTCTTCCTCTCCTTCCATGTAGCTGTATGAAGTAAAGAGAGCCATCTCTCACGCACCCCCCCCCCCACATCCTCCTTTGCAGTTCTGCGACAGCGACCACCGGTGTCCACCGGGCCAGAAATGCTGCACAGACGCCTGTTCCCAAAGGGAAGTTCGGCTGAGTCAATACCCAGCGAGTGCATGGCTGCATGACTCAAACTCTGGATCGACTGTTGAGGAGCTGTGTGCTTGGCCATTTTATATTTTTCTTGCTTTTGCTTCTCATTCGTTTCTTTAGCATTTTCCCTGTGGACGCCACCAAGATCTTTCTCCTGTTGGCTTAACAACTCTAATCTTAAACGCACAATACGATCGATAAATTTGGAATGGAATTTTGTTTGGATTTTTCTTTTGGAATGGCTTTCGTGCTTCAAACATTGATACACACACCTATGGAACATTTTCGAGAGGAACTTGTGTACTAAGTCAGTTTCTGACCGAGTACGAAATGTAATACATACACCATGTATGCATATTATACACATATATAATATACATATATACCTATATTTATATACGTATATATACGAGTATATATACATGTATACAAACATATATATATGCAAGTACATATATAAATATATATATATATATATATATATATATATATATATACACATATGTATGCAAGTATTTAAATATATATATATATATATATATATATATATATATATATATATATATATATATATACATGTATATACAGACACATGTATGTGGATATGTATGTATATATATATATATATATATATATATATATACATGTATATACGGACACATGTATGTGGATATGTATGTATATATATATATATATATATATATATATATATATATATATATATATGAATAAATATATAAATACGTGTAAATATTCATATATCTATTTATCTTTTTTATTCATTCATTAACATACATACGTACATACATATAAATATATATATATATATATGTACATATAGATTTACATTTTGTGTGTGTTTATATATGTGTATATAAATAATTGTATATATGTATATATTCGCACATATGTATATGGATAAATATAAACACGCACACACATATATAAATACATATATATGTATATATATGTATGAATGTATATATATATATATATATATTATATATATATATATATAGATATATATATATATATACAAATTTAAATGTGTATTACATATATCCATACATATCTGTCTATATATATGTATATTTATGCATATTTATGTTTTTTGCATATATATGCATATATATATATATATATATATATATATATATATATATATATATATATATATAAAGGTATATATACACATATATAATATACATATATACCTATATTTATATACGTATATATACGAGTATATATACATGTATACAAACATATATATATGCAAGTACATATATAAATATATATATATATAATATATATATATATATAATATATATATATATATAAAGGTATATATACACATATGTATGCAAGTATTTAAATATATATATATATATATATATATATATATATATATATATATATATATATATATATACATGTATAAACAGACACATGTATGTGGATATGTATGTGTGTATATATATATATATATATATATATATATATATATATATATACATGTATATACAGACACATGTATGTGGATATGTATGTATATATATATATATATATATATATATATATATATATATATATATATATATATATGAATAAATATATAAATACGTGTAAATATTCATATATCTATTTATCTTTTTTATTCATTCATTAACATACATACGTACATACATATAAATATATATATATATATGTACATATAGATTTACATTTTGTGTGTGTTTATATATGTGTATATAAATAATTGTATATATGTATATATTCGCACATATGTATATGGATAAATATAAACACGCACATACATATATAAATACATATATATGAGTTTATATATATGTATTTAAATTACTAAATAAATAGATGAATGAATATATATATACAAATTTAAATGTGTATTACATATATCCATACATATCTGTCTATATATATGTATATTTATGCATATTTATGTTTTTTGCATATATATATGCATATATATATATATATATATATATATATATATAAAGGTATATATACACATATATATGCATAAGTATATATGTATCTATACGCATTCATGCATATTTGCATGCATGTATATACATACATACATAAAAAGATAGGTAGGTAGAAATATATACATATACACACAATATGTATATGTATATGCATATATATATGTGTATATGTATATACATATATATGTATATATATTCACATAAATATAAATATATACACACGTGTGTGTGTGTGTGCATAGATATACATATATACATGTACATATGAATATATATACATATTTATATGTATATATATGTATGAATGTATATATATATATATAAGTTTGTATATAAGTGTATATGTATATAGATATATATACATAATACATATATACTTTTTTATATATACATCTATATATAGATATACATATGAGTATACATACACATTCTCATATACATATATATGTATATGTATATAAATATATATACATATCTTTACATATATATTCATAAATAATACATTAATATTTTAATATATCTGCACATTGAGCATGTGTATGTATATATGTGTATATATATTTATACTGTATATATAAATAAATATACAGGTATGTGCGTGTATGTGTGTACATATGTGTGATATACATAAATATATATACATATATAAATAAATAACTATGCATACATTTGTATATATGCACATATCTATATATGCACATATATATAAACAATGTATATGTATATACATATAAATGTATATGAATACATATATGTATATATATGTTTATGTATATATGTATGTAAATAAATAAATAAATAGATAATTAAGTAAATGAAGGAACATTATATTTTATATATGTATATATACCTAGATACATATCTATATATACTTATATGCATATTTATATATAGATAGACAGATAGATTTGTACACATATATACACCATTACTGTTGATATCATCGTTTTCCTGGCATTATATATAGATGTATAGATAGACTGGTAGACGGGTAGATATATTGATATGTCAGAGTGAGTGTGTGTCTTCTATGCATGTATATGTAAATATGTATGCATGCATGAAGACGTTATACTATCAAAATACCTGCGGTTGGCAACAACATTGACGGTTCACCTTCGTGCTATTGCCAGTGGCTATGCGGCAATTAGACGCACTTTGGGGGCCTATAAAAAGCCCGTTTTCTGCCTGCAATAACAGTTGAGCCTACAGCTTTCTTGTAGACACATAACATTCCGATTCTACGCGATGGTTGGTTGCTCACGAAGATGACATTTTCTTTATCCATTACTTTCGAGTTTATCGATTTTCTCAAAAGTACGGACACATTTTTTTTTTCTTTTTTTATCTTCTCTTTGTGTATCTTAACATGAATTTGCATTACAGTTGCTCCTTCGCTTTGTTGTCCTTCTCGCTGCCTGCTTCGTGGTAGTCATGGCGAGCCAGAATTGCACCCGTTACTGCCAGACTCCTGGTCAGACTGACGTGTGCTGTGGTGAGTGACCTGTGACCTTTGTGTTGCGTAGGTAGGCAAAGTTATATATATATATATATATATATATATATATATATATATATAAGTTTGTATATAAGTGTATATGTATATACATATATATGTATATGTATATACATATATATGTATATGTATATACATATATATGTATATATTCGCACATATGTATATGGATAAATATAAACACGCACATACATATATAAATACATATATATGAGTTTATATATATGTATTTAAATTACTAAATAAATAGATGAATGAATATATAT